GCCTGGGAGAGGGCACAGCCCAGAAACGCCCCAGAGCAGGCGTGAGTCTGACTCGGTCCAGGGCCAGCGAGAGGCCCGTGTAGTTGAGCGGCGTGAACAGAGGGGAAGGTGTAGGGGTGGGGGGTTAGCTCGTGTGGGGCCCGTGGACCATTGTGGGTGGGTCTCTGTCTGTGTGTGGGTTTCCGGGCATAGAGAGCCGTGGCTCGGGCCCAGGGAGGAGCTCAGAGGCCAGTCTGGTGGGGCCTGGGCAGTTCAGGGAGAGCTGAGAGCTGCCCCTCGGCTCTCTGGGAAGGTTTAGCCTCGGGGATCGGCTTAACAGGCCCAAGCTGGCTGGGCTCCCAGGGTCTCTCGTCACCTCGAAAAGCCTTCAGAGGCCACCCTGTGTCTCCCTGTCTCCATCCACACAGCTGCCACCCCAGGAGAGAACATTCTAGAGCGGCCCTTGCCTCCCTGGCCCTCAGGGATGTGTTTCCTCAGTGCCTGGATCTTTCTGAATTATTCTCAAATATAAACAACGCCTGGTCCTGAAGGTGCTGAGCGTCCTCCAACACAAGCTGCTGAAATCCTGGCAGGGCCATCCCAGCTCACAGCCTGGGGGCATCCAAGACGCAGAGGGCCAAGCCCGGCGGCCGAAGGCGACCCCTGTGTGTCCCGGCAGGCGACTGCCCTCAGCAGGAGTTGGGAGGGACCCGCCAGAGGACTGTGAACTGCATCTGCGTTTGAGAGCATGGTGCCCCTTGACCAGCGTGGACGCACAGACGCATTTGGGAACTGGATGCAGACGTAGGCCTTCTCCCCAGACAGGGCGTAGCATTTTGGATCAGTTCCAGAAGGAGCTGGAATGTGAACCAAGAGCTTGGTTTCTAGAAGCTGAGTTCTTAACTACAATATCATGCACGAAATCCCTGCTTTCATTTCATTCTCCAAGCAATCCAGTGAAGTAAAAAGAGCAACTCAGCCCGGCTGGCCAGGGGAGCTGCTGAGCCTCCACCCTGGAACCAAGAGGCCACCAGTTTGATTCCGGGTCAGGCACAGGCTCGATCCCCAGTAGGGGCCTTGCAGGAGGTAGTTGATGGATGGCATTTCTCTCATCGATGTCTCTCTCTCTCTATCCCTCTCCCCTCCCCTCTCTCTAAAAAATCAATAAAAACATATTTTTTTAAAAAAGAACAACTTTGATACTCATTTCCTTGATGAGGACTCTGAAGTTTAAAAGTTTTCATGATTATTTCATGATTATTTCAGATCAGTTAGCTAATTAAAAGGCTTTGACTGTAATTGAGGCCTCAGAACCCCTCATCCAAGGATCTATCACAATTTTAGGCATAAAGTGAGCATTTCTTTAATGCTTTTAAGTAAGAAAATGAGTAAATAAAAGGCCTGCCTATAAACAGACACTATGTTTAAAGCAACCTTGAGAAAGGAGAGACTTTCATGATTATTTCAGATCAGTTAGCTAATTAAAAGGTTTTGACTGTACTTGAGGCCTCAGGACCCCTCATCCAAGGATCTATTACAATATACCACAATTTTAGGCATAAAGTGAGCATTTCTTTAATGCTTTTAAGTAAGAAAATGAGTAAATAAAAGGCCTGCCTATAAACAGACACTATGTTTAAAGCAACCTTGAGAAAGGAGAGACAGTTGGAGGAATAAACTGACTTCAAGACTTACAACAAATGTGCAGTAACCAGGGCGGCGAGGCGCTGACGTGAGGATGGGCAGAGATCAGTGAGCGGAATAGAGCAGCGGTCGCCAACCGGTGGTCTTCGGACCACTGTGGTTCGTGAGGTCCGAAACGTTGGTGACCACTGGATAGAGAAGCCAGAGAAAGACCCACACTTTTTCCAACAGAGCCACCAAAGTGAACAGAGAAATGAGAGGTGTGGGTTTTTGTAACAAATGGTGCTGGAATAACTGAGTATCCGTAAGGAAAAAAGTGAACCTCAATTTCTACGTGCGCGCCCGCATGTGGTATTTTGTGGAAGAGCCACACTCAAGGGGCCAAAGACCCGCATGTGGCTTGCGAGCCGCGGTTTGCTGACTACTGCCTTACACCATTTACAACGAGTGAGTTGGATCAAGACCTGTCCATAAAAGCTAAGCTTCTGTAACGCTTCTAGAAGAAAATGTAGGAGAATATGTCTACAATTTGTGAGTAGCCAAGACAGAGAAACAGCCATAAAAGAAAAATTTGATAAATTAAACGTCATCGAAATGGAAAACTTCTCATTCGAAGACACCATTATATGTTACTAATTCCTCTCTGTCTATATAAACATGTTCACACTGAGACGACGTAAGAAAGAAACGCCATCAGCGAGAGGGAGGCTTCCCCCAGCTCCCTAAGTCAACAGGACCTCCAGGCGCCATCTCTGCTCCAGTTCATTCCACAAACAGCACTCGCTCCCACCCTGGCCGACCAAGCCAGTTCCACGTGCTGACGGCAACCACACCCCGTGTCAACGCGGTCAGACAGACTCACCCGCCTCGAGCCTCCTGAGAATGGAGTGCTGGGCGCTGGGGGTGCTGAGAGACCTCCTTGCTTGGAAACAGGGTTGGTAGAGCGTTTGGGACTCTCCTGGCTGAGCGGCATCAGGATGTCGGGCGCGCTGACCTTCTGGAAAAGGAAACACAGGATTAAGCACAGCGTCTGCATCCCAGTTCACTTTCGTTCAAATGTGGCGACTTCGGCGAGTACAGCCCGCGTCTATGACCAATGGCCGTAATGGGCAAACCCCAGCAGGCGCACTCCTGGTTGGGCAAATGCCTGCACACACACACACACACACACACACACACACGCGCACACACGCACACACGCACACACACGCACACACACAGCCCTGAGCGGACGTCACCAAGCCTTGGGTAGTCACGACCAAGTGACACACACATACACACACACACACGCACATGCACACGCGGCCCTGAGCGGACATCACCAAGCCTTGGGTAGGTTACTAGGGATTAGTGAAAGTCTTAAAGAAATGGCCTTCGTAGTGACCCTGGCATTTAATCACATGAAATGTAATATTTACTGGACAGGCAGAGTTTTAACTCAGAAGAAAGGGAAAAATCAAAATATATTTCTAAATCTTACACGACTACTCTATGAAAAGTGGGTACTTTTATAATGGATACAGCTAAGCTCTCCAATATGGTAGCCACTAGCCACATGTGGCTATTTAATTCCAAGTTCTAACTAATTGATATCAAATAAAATTATTAAATTCAGCTCCTTGGCTGTACTGGACACATTCCACGTGAGGCCGTGGCTGGGACGGTCCACTGGACAGTGCGAGGACAGAACAACGAACACAGTGGGCAGATGGGGAAACTCGTCTAGCTGAAGATGCAAAGGTTTCTGAATCAAGACTTTTTTTAGAAGTAGAACTTGAAAATACCACAGTCACACCACAGTCATAACTTTCAGGAATGAAAAGCTAAGTGAGAATTTACAGAACAAATGAAGAAAGAGATTACCTCCAAATTACTGTTTTTGCCCTCAACCCCCGGAACATCAACTCGATTGCATCAGACCTGTGGTAAGCAACACCACGTCCAACCCACCACCCTGCGTCCTGGGGGCAGAGAGAGGAGGAGCGGGAAGGGGAAGGTGGAGGACATGCAGAGGCTGTCCTCCGAGGTCTCCCTAGCCCGCAGGAAGTAGACACGCGGCGGACATGGAGGCAGGAGCCACGCCCACGGACAGAGGAGGGGGAGGGCCGATGCCAGCGGGGCGGGCCTGGGCGTCAGTGGGACTATGCCTGAGCGGGTGTGGAAGGCTGGCTTCCAGGTCCGGGTCCTGGGAAGCCTGTGATGAAGCATCCGTGCAGATGTGTATATTTGAAATTATTAGAACGTTGGTCCTATTCTGAAGATTCGCCTATTTTGACTGACTGAGGAGTCCACCTTGGCTCGCGGTGTCACCTCCGGCCCAGTAAGTTCTGAAGGACGCGGACGCGTTTGTCAGGCAGCACCTTCTGAAAGGCACCAAGGCCCGGAGAGCAGCCGGTCAGCGTGTTGAGACCGGCTCCCCCGCCCCCACAGTGACTCTGTAATGTATTTCCACAGCCACCTGGTTTGGGGCAGATCACAGAGACAACGCCTGCCCTCGTGAGGCCCACCCTGCGCAGAGGCAAGTCTACCGGTCTATGCCGAGACCCATACGCATCGGGCTTGCTTTGACCGAGCGATGGAACCACGCAGTGCGTGTGTTCGGGATTTTCCTGATCTCAGGTAAGAGAAGGGAGAGCAACCCTCTGCCGCCTCCGAGACTGCATCGAGGGTTGCCTTTTTTAAAAAAAGAACATTTTATTTTATTTTAATTTTTGGAGAGGAAGAGGAAAGGAGAGAAAGAGAGAAAGAGAAACATCGATATAAGAGCAAAACATGTATTGACTGCCTCCTGCACACCCCCTACCGGGGATCAAGCTCACAACCAGGGCACGTGCCCTTGACTGGAAATGGGACCGGCAGCCTCCTGGTGAACACCCAGCCCACGGAGCCACACGGCCAGGGCTGAGGGTGGCCTTTTAACATACTCACTCACTCGGGTGCCAGAAACACCCAGGCTGGGCTTGCCCAGTAATATGTGCTCTGAGCCCAGCTAAGTCCCAGCTGAAAAGCAGATGCCCTCTCCGGGGCCGTCAGAAAGGTCACTGGTCCTTCAGTCTGAGGACCAAGTGCTTTAATGGTTGAAACCCAGTGCTGCTGCCTCCCTTCTCTGGCTGGTCAGCCTTCCAGGTGGCGCCAGGAGGTGGGAATGTGCAGGAGGCACCAGGGCCCGGGGCGGGGCGGGGGGGTGTCTGTAGGTTTCAGGTGTCCATGAGAAACATCACAAGCACCAGGTGCGCAGAACGAAATAAAGTCTTCTCCCCACCGCTGTCCTCGGCCCTCCCCTCAGACATAGGCCCTCCTCACAGAGTGTTTCGTCCCTTCCTGGTTAATGGGTCTCCTTTTATGGTCTGAACATAGGTCACCCACACATTAACAGGACGGACAGTCAGGTCCCCTGGGCTGCGCAGGAGCCTCAAGGAGAGGTGAGAGTTCACTTCCTGGAGAAGCCGGCCCAGCTCACACGAGGGCTCTGCAGGGACATCTTAGAACATGCAGCTCATGTAAGTGACCTGGAGGGCCTCCCGGCCGTTTTCTCATTCAACCTCCCGGAGTCACATGTGGCCTTAAGAAAAGCGGCTCCTGTGTCTGCCTCGCTGTGGCCGCCTGCACCGTGGGCGCCGACAGCCCTCACCCGGAGGGCACGGTGCTGTGTTGCGACGAAATGTGGGCATCACTTCCGTGAGCTCCCCAGCCAGGGCTGTGTAATTGCCGTCTGACAGGTGTCCTATGGAAGGCTGTACTCTTCATAGTTTAACCCAGTAATTATTTAGCGTTTATAGGTCATGCCATGATTGGCATGTACTTTACAAACACTGGCTAAGTTGTCCTCTAAAACATCCGTGCCCTCACCCTGGCCGGTTTGGCTCAATAGTTAGAGCATCGGCACATGGAGTGCAGGGTCGAGGGTTTGATTCCCGGTCACGGGCATGTACCTCGGTTGCGTTGAATCCCCGGCCCTGGTCGGGGTGCTTTCGGGAGGTCACCAATCGATGAGTCTCTCACATCGATGTTTCTCTCTCTTCCCCTCTCCTCCCTTCCCTCTCTAAAAACAAACAGACAAACAAAAAAACAGCACACCAATGGAAAAAGTACCCTCGGGTGAAGATTAAATAAACAAACAGAAAACCAGCCAGACCCTCACTCAAGTGAGGTGGGGCCAGAGCACGCCCGCAGGAAGCTGTCAGCATGTCCAGCGTGCGGCAGCGACGCGGACACTCACTCGCAGGACAGCGTCCACACAGCGGGAGCTTGCAGCCATGCCCTCCGCTGCCTCCTCCCTCCTCCATCTGACAGCCTCGTGATGGCCCGAAGGCTGTTCCAGGGGCACAGGAAGCGGGGAGGAAGCCGCGAGTGCCGGTTCTATCAGCATCCAAAAGCCCAGCTACGCGTGGGGATGCCTGGGAAGCCGCCCCGCGTCAGTGACGTCAGGACTGGGAAGCATGCAGGCCTGCGAGGCGCTGTGCCTCTCCCCGGGGACGTGCAGATGTGGCCCCAGCGGCCGGCTCTACCCGGCCCTGCCCTTCCCACCACCCTACACCCCCGGCGGCTCCCTGCCCGGGTCCTCATCTTTGATGGGTCAGTGAGAACACAGACCTCACGGGGCTATTTTAAGGATTGAAAATTGTAACACACCTGTAGGGCTTTGCACCGGGAACAGGGCCTGGTATGCCCTTGCCCTTGCCCCTGAGTTAGCATCAGAGAGGCTGCGCCCACCCAGCGAGGAAGGGCGTTGTCTGTGCTTCCAGAAGCACCTTCTGAGCCCTGGAAGCTCGTTGGTGCCCCTTATGCGGGGCGCATACTGAAGGCGTTAGGAGCTGGGGATTCAGAACCTACGAGGCTGCTCTGCTCCTGGCTCCGCCTTTGTGAGCTGCGATGCTGGGCAGGGGGGAGGGACTCCGGGAACCCCGGGTGCTTGGAACGAGGCTGAGCCCTTCCCTGTTCTGAACTGTTTTCCAAACCGACCTTGAATTTGGACCTTCCTGTGGCCCAGCCCCCCACAGAGGCGCCTGTGCTGATGTCTGCGGACTGCTCAGTGCTTTGTCATAAGAGAAAAGGGGTCCCTGGAGGAAAGGAGTACCCTGGTGGTGGCGTTGATGGCAGTGTCACTCTGGCTGCGCCGCTCCGTCCGGCTGGCGCCCGGCCTGGGGCCCGTGCTGAGGAGCTGCTTGTCCGAGGTCATGTCGTTCTGGGACTTGGAGAGTTCTAGAAAACAAGACACAGGAGGTGACCGGCAGGCATGCGGACCCGAGGGGCCCTCCGAGGGGACTCTCAACCACACAGGAGGGGAGGGCCCGCGGCGCCAGGAGAGCGGGTTAATGGAGGGGCAGGGGTGGCGTGTGCCCAGCACCCAGCTCCGGGCCCTGGGGGCAGGGGGAGCTCAGACAAACGGGGATCTCCAGACACGGCGTGCTGGCTCGGGCCAGAGGACGGGAGCCCTAAGAGGCGACCGCCTGACCCCCCTCTGTGGGCCGAGGGCCGCCGTCAGGGCGGGAGTTACAGGACGGTCTTCCGACCCAGGTGGCTCTGCCTCCGGGCCACACGCCAGGTGTCTGACTGTCCAAACGCGCAGACGGCACCCAGCCGACAGCAGTGTTTTAGGGGGTCCTCCCCAAGACTTTATAACCAGCTACAAGTGAGTCCTTTTTGAAGAGAGGCGTCCTTGTCACTATTTCAATAAGCAAAACGGGAAAAGATGGCTTTACATGGTGGTTTGCAAGGTAACCGTGGTCTGTGTGGGAGAAGGATGAGTCACAGCCGGAGAGGACACCTCAAACGAGCCCCCTCCCCCCGAACCCCTGCTCCTCCCCAGATCCCAGCTGCTCTCAAAGGAAGACCTGGAGGCTGTCTTTAGAGCAGTGGCCCATTATGGCTCATGTCACCTCAAATGTCCATGTGGCCACATTTAAAAAGGAAAAGGTACCCTAGCCAGTGGAAATGGACTGAAGGGGCCCGGGTTCTGGTCAAGGGCACATACCGGGGTTGGGGGGTTGCGGGCTCGGTCCCCAGTGGGGGGTGTGCAGGAGGCAGCCGATCAATGACTCTCTCTCATCATTGATGTTTCTCTCTCTCCCTCTCCCTTCCTCTCTGAAATCAATAAATATATATCTTTAAAAAACAAAGGAAAATAATTTAATACTATAATATATCCACACATTGCTCACATATATAACTGACATTAAACTTACTAATGAAATTACAAACTAAGTTTTGAATACTAAGTTTCCAGAATCCGGTGTGTTTTTACTCTTAATTCAGGCACCACATTTCGCGAGCCACCTGTGGCCGCGGCTGCGGCTACCGCACTGGACAGCACAGCCCACGACCCCTCTGGTCTTCTGACCCCTCCCGAGGGGGTGCCCTGTGCGTCCTTACTCCTGGCTATTTATTGGGGTCCCGCACGCACTGCCCGAGGCCCGTCTCTTTTCTCTAGAGCAGCGATGTCTCATGACACACATAACCAATTACTAAAATTCTGCGCTACACCAAAAAATATACATTTTTGGCCGATCTGACAAAAAAAGCTATAATTTTGATCCAGTCACACTGGATGGCTATAGTTGTGTTGGCTGTTGTCATTTTTCTTGATTTGACAATCTAAGGGGAACGAGGTCAGTGCCCCTGACTGGAGTCAGGTTGCAATCTTTGTTGCGGGCACACGGGGGACAATCGCTGTGTTAGCGGGTACCCCACACGCCCCCAGCCCGGCGCCCACCTTCCCACCAGGTGTGTGGAGCCTGTTCACTCTGAGAGCAACGCCATCCACACGCTCTCGAGTCGGCCATCCGGGCACTCCGGGGCATCTTTCCACACCGGCAGCTGGAAAGGTCCCGGCACCCACAGGCCCCCCACAGTTAGTGGCACAGGAACACCTCATGCGGTCAGACCCCAGCCTGGGTCACGGGGTATGAGGGGCTGGGAGATGTCCCCGAGCCGTGCATTTAGCACTCACCCTAAAACCCGTTCCTTCCTCTGGTCTATTTATGTTCACAGATGGGGGAGGGGGAGGGGGGTTGTGAGGGGGGACTGTGTGTGGAATGGGGCCCTTCTGAAGCAAGTCAGGTTCTCACAGGCTTCTGATGGGCGTGCAAAGGAGAGCAACAGGAGCCCAGGCGGTCCTGAGCGAGAAGCCTGCGTCCCCCTCCCCCTCGGAGCTGGCTGAGGTCCCCAGAAGGGCAGTGACCATAGAGCAGGCGGAGTGACTCATTTCTTCCTGCCGGTGGGGCGGGCGTCACTGGGCAGCAGCAGCCACCAGAGGCTGTCATTCTGGAGCTGCAACTTCAGGCCACCACCTCC